ATAATCGAACTATTTCATGTGTTATGTAGCAGTTATGTAGCACCATGTTTACATATCAACATTAATACAAAGCAAAATATGTATGATGTCTCAATATTATTATTGCTATATCTTCACAAAAAAAGAATTCGCCGACTTCATCACCGAAACTTGTACACAATATGATCATAAATGATCAACTGTATATCTAGAAACTGTAACGGATGAACCACAGAATACAGTACATATTGTATAATGTACATGTATATTGTATATTTTACAGCGAGATAATTACACGTTACAAGTTAGAGTATCATTTAAATGTCGAAAATGCAGAATATAAATTATATCATAGACTTATACAAGAGAGAGGAAATCGAACCGTTCCTATAGGAGCTGCAAAAATCCTTTTTCTAGAAAATGTCACGAGCAATCTATCTAGTTTTACTCATAGTAAACCTATATGTATAAGTCTATGAATTGTATATACATTACATTTTTTTACTTAACATAAGCTCTTGTAATGGCAACGCCTTTTAGTTGTAATTTAAGGCTCCTAGTTGGAAAATACACGAATTCAAAATTCTCGTACAAGTCGAGATGAAATGATGTGTGTATAAAATGACGCGCGATCGACCGAGAGCAGATTTTAAAATATTCCGATAACCTTGTTTATAATAATAAATATTTTATATATTAAACAATATAATTATCCTTAAAAAGGGAATAAATAATTATATAAATATAATAATAATAATAATAATAATAATAATGAATAGTTAATAATCAATAAAATCATAAAGTCAACATTGTGTCACTTTATACACGTATCTTTTTATTTCAACTTGTACTCGGTAAGAATTCTGATTGTAAGAGTATTTTCTCGTTTCTAACGTCATTAATCAAAATAATCACGGCAACAAAGAAACAAGAATTTTAATCACGAGGCATGTTCAAATTCGATGAGAAAGCGTCAATAATATTACGCTTTCAAATGTAGTACGTAATTGCGTTGTCCGATACTATTTTGTAGTTCAGTATGATGTAATTCTTTTCTTAGATTTTACGCACCTTGTTGGAATTGTAGATATAATTTCGCGCTTGTATACGTAACGCACGAAGTATCACTAGAGGATTAATGCGTGATTTACATGCGCGATGATTATCATGGTACGCGTATATCAGCGGAGGTAGTACATTCTTCACGATATTCCGAACAATGAGACGCAAATAGTCTTAAAGAGTAGAAAAATTCTATAGCTTATAGTTTTGTCAGTTTCGCGATTCATCGAACTCGCAAGCACACGTAGCAAAAGTATCACAGAGAATACGGTGTTCTACTATTTGCTCTCGACAACGGTACTTAAGAAATACTGCATTGTTTAATACTACTTACAGATACAGCGATATCGCGATATTTGCAGAGGCACTCATCTTTTTCGCGACAATATCCGTACCAAAAATACACAATTTTCCCTTAGGTATCTTGAAAAGTTGATATTTATCTGGTATTAAACGCGAAGCGTCTAGCGAACTTGTGCAAGTGTACAGTTCAAATCTCTTCCGACATTGTAATCTTCGTCTGTCGCTTTATTGATCTCGATGGCGATGCGATTTGCTCCTACCGTATCGATGGGAATCGAATGAGTCTAATTACGCGCAAGCAAGTTGTCGACGAGTCTCGATCATCATGATTCGTAATACGATGTGTACAATATGTTCCACAAGATAGCGGCGGTCATGAGGCCTGTGTAAGTGAACATGCTGGCCCACCAGACAACCTTCTCCCAAGTCTTCACCTCGAGATTTCGCAATACGTTTATACCTACTAGAAGGCCCGCTATGGCGCCGGCCAGGTGGGCTACGTAGCCGACCTGGTCATTGGTGTCCAGGACGTAACGATTCCACACAGCTTGGCCGATATCGACACTCGTGACTACGAGGAACACTAACAACTGCAGGACGGCAAATTCCATTTGCGACCAGTTCATTATAATCGTCGCCACGTGGGCGGTGATCAGCGCGTATACTCCGCCTGACGCGCCGGCCAGGTAAACCGTCGGGTCGGAGACGGATGTGCCGAGTGAGCCGGCTACCACTCCGGCTATGTATATAATCAACACTCGCCACCACTTGTGCACCATCTCCAGAGGAATGCCCAACATAATTTGTACTAGTAGATTAACGACCAAATGGAAGACTCTGTCGAACACGAGGATAGAGAATATTACGATTATTGACAGACAAAACAAATTGTATAGTACGACAATGTAATGTGTAAGTAATGTAAGCAGGGTTGGGTAATAACTAGGTTACTCGGTTAAAAGTCAAGTTAATAGCTATTGATTTAAACTTGGTTAAATGAGTTAACTTTTCAGTAGTTAAAGTAGTTAATTCAAAACATTTGATTTGAGCATTAACTTGTTGACCTTTTTTTTTAATGTAAGTTAAAACAATCCATCAATATTAAGATCACTATGACCCGCTTACAAGATAAGAAAAATTAAAAATAATGCCAGCAGAATTGCTCTTTGAGCGCTAGTGTTCGTTTCTTGCATGGAATCCTGAGCACAAAATCTACACTTAAAACGTTAATGCAAAAAAGCATATATATGTATGTAACATAGTTTTATGTAACTTTTAACTTTGATAAGTTAATTTAATATTAACTCTACTTTTAATCAAGTTAGTTTTAGTAATTTTTAACTGAATTAAAATAATTAATAGGGTATTAACGTTTAACTTAGTTAAGAATTTATATGTCCAACTTTGAATATAAGTGATATTCTATATTTTGACGATATACATAACGGCTGATCTACTAAAATACGACTGCTGAGTTTAATTTGATCTTGGTCTGGCAATGATTGCAGGATGGAAAAACGAAAGAGAAGAAGTCAATACATACCCAACGTGTACGAACATATACGTTAGATACCGCCAGGCTTGGTATCTCTTGTGCGGATTATAAATAAATAACGTAGCCGCCGGTCCTTCTACAGAAAGAGATTTGTGCTTAATCACATCATACATGAACAAAATGATTTCTATTATCGATATGATTATCATCGCTACGGCCGGCGGTCGACAGCTGTACTCATCTTCGTACAGCCCATCCGGATAGTCGCTAGATCGCAGAGAAGATTCCGTTATTGTGCTTGTTTGCTGCTGAAACGGCTGAGAATCGCCGAAGCTTGAGGGGGCATGCATTACAGTACTGAATTGTCGCTGAGGGTAATACCTAGAGCCCACGGAAGTCTGTCTCATCGCGCGGCACGGCCGTTGGGGTATCACAGATTGAACGTATCGCTGCATAAAGTGTCCGAATATACCTTGCATGTCCTTCCTGTGGATCTGGATACGAGAAGGAGGAGGAAATCAACAAACTGTGCCGTTATGTATGTATCGTCGGCGAACGATTCCGACGTGATCCGGTGATCTCTACTAACCATCGCTATAAATTCCGGATATTCCAAGTAACCGGAATCGTCCAGATCTGCCTTACGCATTATCGTACGTACCACCCCAGCGGGGATGTCATTGGAAAAGTCCGGCCCGCGTATCATCTCCTTCAGCTCCTGAAGGGAGATCTTCCCGTCGCCATCGAGATCGTATCTCTCAAAAATGGCTTTCCAATGCTGTCGAAGAGAAAAAGCGCAATGTTCGTTATTTCGCTCGAGTACGAGTTGCCAGAGGAATGCGGTTTCCTTCGGGTGTCGCTGTCGCCAAATGGGACGTCTGTTCTCTGTTCCTCGACTGTCCGTCTATATACTGATGTTTTTCTTCACATTGACCCGAGGACAATGTCATGCGGGTCTGAATTAGGTTGCACCGTTAGAGCGGAACAAGTGTATATAATTTAGCGTTGAGAGGGAAAGATACGAGAAGAGTTCCAATGCAGCCTTAGTTCGGAAACGGAAAACATGCCTGTGTACTTGTAGTTCAGGACAATGTGAACAAAATCAACAGTGTATTGAATCTTGAACTTCGAACCTTAGAATAGCTCCTATACACTTGTAGATTCTGAACAAAAACAAACATCCGCTACTACCTTGCAAACAGCCGTGCAAATTTTTTAGTTATTAATTAAAGAAGCTCCTAACATGGCCATTTTCAGCAATTAATAACTAAAAATTTTGCGTGATCGTCAGCAAAATGATGGAGGAATTTTCTGTTCACACAGATTTAAATTACAAGTAACAGGCGTCCCAGTTAACGGCAGACACCCGGTAGACAGAAATCGGAGTATGACTTACGGCTTCATTATACTGCAGCGGGATAGTCACTGCAGTCTCGCCCTCTCGATTGGTCGTCATTCTTATCAGTTTGAAACTCCTGCAAAGGTAAACAGCACATTAGTCACAACCGAGTCAGGTGGGTGGCCAAATACTTTTACATCTATCCGTGTCTCGTGGAACTTGACCAGAGTATTATGTCACAGCTCTCTTTCTCTCTTACTCTTTCGTCGTGCAAGACCTACACGCGTGCTTCCCGCTGACAGACATTTACTTACAACCTCAAAGGGAGCTACAACAAGGGAGGTGCGGAGAAAGGAAAGCGAGAGCCGGGTGAGTCTGAAACGCTGCCCGACTACCAGAGAGAGAGATGCTCACACCGGGCTGAGAGTCTTGACGTGCGCGCCGCACCCGAGGAGCCGCCTACAGTGACGCACTATCGACGATTAACAGGTTAACTGGCACGTAACACACGCGCCGCAGGAAGGCGGCTTTTACCTGCCGAAGTGGTCGCCCGGGAGATCGCTCGATCTCACCACGAGGTAAAGGCGTGACTCGTCGGGATGCGGCTCTCTGCGCTCAGGGCGGACGCGCACGACTTACGTACTCGATCACTCACTCACTCACTCACACCTGCACCGCGCTGAAAACTATCAGAGGCCTGAGGCGATCCGCGATCTACGATAATATGACGGGTGACGGGGATGACACATTTCCCTTCTTATCTCTCGACGCGCAGATACGCGCGAAAAGTCGATAAAAGACCGAGGAGACACGCCGCGTTCCCGCTCGGGACGCTGCTCTTACGGAGCACGAGTAGTTCCCACCTGTTCGACGCCGCGGCGCGTCGCTACGCGCACACACGCGTCTGACGTGATCCCACGCGGCCCTCGGAGAAACCCGGAGGAACGCTCGGCCCGTCGGACCATTTTCTTGGGAATCCCATCTAGTTTTCGCTGTTTACCGCAGTTAAAAAACGTTCGGGAGCTGAGATATTTGCAATTTGAAATTTTATTATTGAAAATGACACTTTTTATACGTGTTCCTTGAGAGGTTAATGTCCTATTTTTAACTTCTATTGTTAATTTCTCCTAAAGCATATTTGGGATCTTAATGAAAAACTAATGTGATATTACGGACTGATATAAAGACATTACTACAGAAATTTCGGAATTATTGACCACTTTGTTTTGAAAATATAGCCATGGGAAATTTATACTTAAAAAAATATTGTGTTAAAAACGGCCCACCGAAATTTTGCGTTAATTCAATATGGCGAATGTGTTAAAAAAATACACAAATATAATGTTAAATTAGTACATGTTAGTACATGTACATTTCCTATGTTAACAGAAAATTTCAGTTTTTAACATTTAAAATTTTTTACTATGTACCATTTATTATATATGTACGTATATACATGATACATATACATGTGTACATATCTAAATACTCATAAACTACGTTCTATTATGTGTATACCTTTATTAGCTTAATTGATGTATAAATAAAATATTGATTAGAAGAGTAAAAAAATAAATATATTTCCACATATGTAATTGTGTCTTAATTTCGCGCTCAAAATTAACAATTCATATTAACAATTCGTATTAACATTTATTGCTTAGATAGTTAGGTAGCTAGATAAAATTATAAGAAAGTATCAATAAATAATAAATTTGTATAGAAACCCTTTAATATCGCTGCTGAAAATCCGGCACTCTACGGACTAATTACCTTAAGCTGGGCATACACTGCGAATGAAAACGCATAGCGAATGCAAATTTTATACTTCAGTGTCCATTAACATATTAATTTTGAGTTAATTTTTTATATAATATTTGTGCCAATTTTTGACGTAATATTTGTGTGACTTTTTAACATATTCACCTTGCGTTGAATTAACACAAAAATTTGAGTGGACCGTTGAAGATATGTGAAATGTGTTAAAATTAACGCAAAATTGTCTACTGTGTGGAAATTGTCTAGTTTGACAGCATTTGGAAGTATTTGCTTTTCATATTTCCGCTTTAGAGAAGAATTACGTGATCGCCGGCCGGTTTGGGAATAACCCAGGTAGAATAAAAAACCATGATTGAAACGATGTTGGGACGATGTCAAGGTGACGAGAAGATGATCGAATCATAGTAAAAGATTGAATTTCATAGTCATTTTCCTGAGCGATTTCTGTTCTGTCACTTCCCCCCCCCCCCATTCTGTAACTTGTAACGACAATTTTGTTATCATTAACGTATCATTGCGCAGCTATTTTACGCGATACACTGCAAATCCTTTGGCTGAAGCTTTTCTTACAAACTTCTTACACGTGTCTTGTCATTTTAAATCACGTCACATAACACGATTGGACGTGTTAATTTAACACGTCGTAATTTAACGTGTTAATTTAACACGATTAAACGTTTTCAAATGATGTAAGACTAAATCGGCAAGAGACATGTAAAAATAGCCTCGGTCAAATATGCCATTTTAAGAATGTTTATGCGTGTAAAAATAACACACTTGAATTTACGGTGGATACACGTTTTATCCACGCGAAGATTCGTTATGTGTACGTCATGTTACAGAATAAGGGTAACTGGAAACAGACCTCGTCCGTCCGACGAGAAGAACACGAGGAGAGTGGAGAAAATTGCCGAAACATCGCGGCGGGTACGTGGCAACAAGCACGGAAACGCGCTTACGCTTCAGGAGACGAGAGCGAGGAACGCAGCGATCGGCGTGACGGCGGCGTATCATCTAACCGCGACTATTCGCACAATTGTTGAGCTCACCGGTTCTACGAAACTAACTAACAGATAACGGTTTCGAGGAGAAGTACGGAGACGAAGGGAAGGACGTGCTGGCGCGGGCGCGCTGCAACGTGCCACTGACCTCGCCGCCTCGAGCGCGGTCAGGAACTCCCTCTGGAACGCAGGGGCCGAATTTTCCGCCTGGTCCTCGCAGCAGGTGTCACGGGAGCGTGTTCGTTCGAGCGAGCGCGTAACGGTAAAAGGTGGCTGAGAACGCCGTCATCGTTTTCGCAAGCCGAGACGCCCGAGAGAGAGCGAGACGAGAAGAGCGGGGGATTTCGATGAAATTTTGAAAATCGCACGATGGAAAAAAAGGTACAACTGCAAAGAAGAGTTTGGTAGCAATCACCAAATATTTAGTGAAATAGTTTCAACTAAATGATTTGGTTACCGCGACCAAATAATTTAATTGAGACTATCTCACTGAATGTTTGGCAATTGTTAGCAAACTCTTTTTTTTCAGTATAGAAAAGAACCCTATTATCGCGTAATATTCCTAGAATATTATATTAATGTTATTCAATATTAAAATAATATTCTAATAATATTCTAAGAATGTTATGTAATATTTTTTAATATTATAGAAATAGTCTCTATTGATGTTATATGTCCACTACACATCATATTCCTGGCATATTATAAAAAGGTTCTTAGAGTATTAAAAAAAGAATAAAACGATAATAATATAGAAAAATTTATATAAATAAAAAATATATACATATGCTATACATATATACCAGGTGTAGAAGTTTGAAACCGGAATTTTTTTGTAAAAATTATACGTCTGTTGTTTGAAAATGATAAAAAATATTTTATTCAAAATAATGTTCATTGCTATTTATACATTTTTCCCACCTCTCCGGCAGTTTATGAATGCCACGCCAAAAAAACATTTCTTCTTTTGAAGCGAACCAGCTATCGAGCCATTTTCGTACATTTTCATACGAATTGAAGCGTTGTTCAGCGAGAGCGTGTCCCATTGATGCGAATAGATGATAATCGGACGGAGCCAA